ATTGAGTTGGTTCTGATCCAAAGCAACCCTGTATAAGGTTTCTGAGGAGCAACTGGTGAGCTTGAACTGCCAACATTGTAGTTCAAACTGACTTTGTAGTCCAGTGCATTTAAATTAAACAATCTTAGGCTGTTTAATAATGAAAATCATGATAGTGGCTCATGGTTTTCACTTGAACATGTTCATTTGCCACCCCCATTCCCCACTCCACTCCCACTGACCTTGACCCATGAATATCCCATTGTAAGGTACCATTTAAAGGAGGAAAAATAACAGAATACTTTTTATTGACTGATTTGAAAAAATTGAAACAGGTGCCATACACACCTCTAACGAAGCTTATGTTTCAGTACCTCTCACAGTTGTGTTGACTAACTGGGCTGGTTTTTCCTAGTGGAAAACCAGAGATCAAAGCTCAGTGTTCTTTGACCTGCAGAGAGGAAGAGAGTTGCCCAAAGTCCCATGGCAAAAATAACAGAGACAAGATGAGAGCCATGACTCTAAATCGGGGAGAGGGGGAACGCTTTTTTCTGCCAAAACTTAAAACATCATTGGCGGGCCATGCAAAATTATCAACTTAAAAATTAGCCTGTTTTATTTGGTCAAACATAGTTAACTGGTTTCCTGTTGTGGCACTGTAGGATCTGCACTGGACCGTAAACCACAAGGTCAGTGGTTCAAACCCACCAGTTGCTCCTCGGAAACCCTACATAGGGTCTCTATGAATCAGAACTGATTCCACGACACAACAACAGTGTGATGGCTAGAGTCCTGGTGTGGTGCTGTAGGATAAGCACTAGACTTCAAGGGCGGTTTGAACTGCAAGGTTAGCAGTTCAAACTTACCAGCTGCTCCTCAGAAACCCTATACAGGGTAGCTATAAGTCAGAACTGACTGGATGGCACTTAACAACAATAACAATGTGATGGCTGGAACAGTGGCTGCCTTGGCAGGGCCAGACCCAATGATTTAGGAGGCCTAGAGGAGTCCTGGTGTGTCGCTGTGGGCTAATGCGTCAGACTACAAAGTCTTTGAACTGCAAGGTCAATGGTTCAAGCTCATCAGCTGCTCCTTGAAAACCCTATACAGGGTCGCTATGCGTCGGAATTGGCTCGATGGCACTTAACAACAACATGGACTCCTGGTGTGGCACTGTGGATTAATGCGCTGGACTACAAGGTGGGCAGTTTGAACTCACCAGCCACTCCTTGAAAACCTTATACGGGGTTGTTAGGAGTCAGAATAGACTCCATGCCACTAACATCAACAACAACATATGGCCTGGGCTGGAATTCCCCACCCCTGTTCTAAATCCTTACACTGCATTGGGCTGGGCTGAGCCTGTAAACTCCACCCCTCCTCACAGCTCACACTGTTCTCTGGAGCTGAGGTGTAAATATGGAGAAACTAATTGGAGTTTTGCATGTGACTTGTGGAATCAGTCTCTTTATATGATAACATCTTGTTTGTTCAATTGACAGCTAAAAATCATCAACTGCTTTCAAATGACATACAAGCCTGGCCCCATCTGGCCCCAGCCTCCTTATTTAACTTCATCTCCCCCACCTCTACCCTCCTAACCAATTCACACCTACTTTCTGCTTACTCTGGGCTCAGGTATATGTTTGCTCTGGAAGCTTTCTTTTCAACCCCCCAACTCTGGCCTGGGTGTCCCTCCTCACACTGTCCCCCAGCACAGCCTGTATCACCTGGCATTATAACTGCCCATCCACTTTTCTATGTGCCATGTAGGCAAGAACTCTTGTGTCTATCACTGAGCTCCCAGTGCCCAGAGCAGGCCCCTACCCATAACAGGTGTCCCGTGAATATCAGGGTGCCGTCATCTCCAGAACACTCACTGTGTCCTCATACGCTGCAGCCCTACCTCTTCTACCCTCCTTACATTGCCAAGACCCACAACCATCAACTTTTCCGTGAAGCCTTCTTCTTCAACACCCTGAACCCCCACAAACACAGTTAGTACTTCCTTTTCCTGCTCCTAGCCTCCCTGCCACCCCATGTCATGTAAGACACTATTGTCCCTGTGAACAGTGTCTCCTATCCTGAACCATTGGTCCAGTTAACTTAGAATTCAGCAGTGAACATAACAGACAACATGTTGCTGTCCTAATGGAGCCCAGCAATCTAGTTGCAGGAAAGACCATAAATCAACTAAGTAAAATTTAAATCATGTGAGAAAGTGGTAAGTATTAGGGGAAAAAACAAAGCAGGGAAAGAGGATAAAGGAGAGTGGGAGAGGTGAGGAAGCCATACCAGTATCTGGGAGAGAGAGCTCAGGCTTGCACTGACTGGGCAAAGCTCTTGAGCGGGGAGAGGCTGACCACAATTATGTTACAATGAGGAGGCTAGTGTGGCTGGAGAGCAAAGGGGATCTAGGACATGACGTCAAAGAGGTAAAGCAGCCTCTGGATCAAAGAAGGCTTGTAGGTCCAATTAAGATTTTGGCCTTAGCTCTGACACAGGAACAAAGAAGTGGCGTGATCTCCCTCACTTTGAAACAGGACCGCTCTGGATGTTGTACTGAAAACAGAAGGACATGGGACAAGGTGAGACGTAGGGAGGCCAGTGAGGAGATTATAGCAACATTCCAGGTGAAAGATGAGGGTGTTTGGACTCAGGTTGGAGCAGGACAGGTGGGCATGAGTTATCTGCAAGTAAAGAGTCCAGAGTGGTACCTGAGTGGTAGGACAATGGAGCTGCCAAGAACTGAGATGGGAAGACAGACGAAAGAGCAGATTTGATGAGACTATCAAGAGTTCAACGTTTGGCAAGCTAAATTTGAGATGTGTATTAGGCAGTTAAAGGAAATGTTGTTGATCGGGTTAGCTGAGGTTTAGGAGAGATGGTCCAGATTGAAAATAGAAATGTGGGCATCATTAGCACATAGATGCTTAAGCCTTGAGAACCATATGAGATCACTAAGAAATGCAAGTGTTTCAAAAAAGAGGGAGTAATTGGCTGAATCAAATACTGCTGATGGGTCAAGAGGAGGCCTGACAATGATTGATTAAATGCCAGGTCCAGATAGATCTGAAAGTACAGGTGACTCTTTAGGGTTGGCAGAGGCACCTGTCAGGTTCCTAGCAGAGACATAAATGGCTCTAAATTCCCAGGAACACTAGAGACAGGGAATGGAAGAACCATACAGCTCAGTGTTGGAAAGACCTTAAATGGGCCATTTCATCTGTACTCTTCTCTCCACTTAAGCCTGATTATTGAGTCCCTGGTTCTAGAACAAGAAATATTTGTCTGAAACGAAGGCAACCAGTCTGGCTAGAATAGATAGAAAAAGCACAATTGAAGAAGAAAGAAAAAACAGTTCAGTAAAGGCTGGACAGCACAGGCTGAGTGGGACGTGGGAGACAACTGCTTCCGGAGTCTGAAAACTAGGATTCAGGTCCTGCACCTGCTGGTCTCACAGCCCTCAGCCTCACTTTCCCCATGTGTAAAATGCTTCGAGACTGCTTCGAGACTGAATGTGGTACGACTTGGGGTAAATGCACTACCTGAGTTAGTTATTGCAAGAACAACGGATGGAGGACAGGAGAAGCACTCAACTTGTAATGGTAGTAGAAGTGGGGATGAAGAGGGAACTACTGTGTTCTGGGTGGGTTGGGCAGGCTGGTGGCATGTGGGGAAATTACCAGAAGCTGGGCAACAAGATATGGCCATCCATCTGAGAAAGAGGCCTTGTTGGGGGCTGGAATACAGATGGAGTAGAACCTGAGGTAACAACAGTGGAAAGAACCAGACACCGAGACTCAGAGACAGGGAGGCCAAGAGAACAAGTGGCCCAACAGGGGCCGGAGGCAACCCGGAGAGAGCGAGGCACTGGGGTGCAGACCCTAGCAGAGCAGAGCCCCCGCGCGGCGCAGGGTCGAAGCGCGCGGGCCAGGGGTCCCTGGTGAAGCCCAGGCGGCCGCACTCGTTGGGCGCCCCCGCCCCAGCTGCTCGCCCAAGATGGCGA